GTATTCTGAGATGGCCACATTTTTCTGGCTGTCAGGTAAATATTATGAATGTGAGTTGTACAGCACACAGAAAATAGCACCTCTCAGCAATAATTACACAGCCCATCTGTATTCTCTTTAGGGAACTTAAAATCATGTCATATATATCCTTTACAAATGCTTTAACAATCCCACCAAATCAGGAGAAGAACAGAACACAAAGAAAATGAGACTCAAAAAATCTCTACTGCATGTCTAGATCACACTGTACAAATAATGCTTTGTTCTCTTTATCAGTAGACCAAAATATTCAGACAGAAATTGTGTAGAGTTGATGTGAAGTACAAGATTTCAGTTTCCCTACCAAAACAAAAAATTGCATTTCACCTAAAATGTCCCTTTTTAGTTTTGGGGGGTAGGGGGGGTGGGGTGGGCAGAAGTTTTGGGTTGTTTCTGAAGTACACTGGGGTGAAATTCTGAAAGAAATATGATTTCAACTACAGAAATAAAAATGCTTTATTTTGCATTTTGTTTGAAACAAAGCATTTCTATTACATTTTAACTTATTTTCTCCGGGTTTTTCCAGCTGCGTTCAAAAAATGTGCCATTTATTCCTAACTGGGACCTGGGTAAGAGCAGAAAGAATAAGAGGAAAAAGAATAAGAGAAAAGGAGGAATACAGCAAGCATGAGGGAATAATGGTAGAAGAAAAATGGACAGCAGGAAACCAATTTGCAGAAATACTCCTACTCAGGAGAAGCACATCTCTCAGCGGCTCAGAAGAGGTTGTTAGAGAGCCAGAAGGAAAGGGAGAGAGAACGACGAGAAGGAGGAGAGATGGAGGAGGAAGGGTGAGACATGAGCAAGAGGAGCAAGGCAAGTGCAAAGTATGTGGGGTGAATAGAACAAGCAGCAAGGAAAAACTGGGAGAAAAGGGTAAAAGAGCCTCTCAAATCTCTGGGATAAAATTTTGCCGCATTACTCTCAGTACTCTTTCGATACGTAACACAAGAGAGCAGCTCAAGGCCCCTGGTTTGGATTCAGTTGCCACAACTTCAAGGCCACCCTAAGCACGGTATCTCCCACCACCCTGTTCCAAAGGACGTCTGGGAAAGGGGCCTTTCAGTGAACATACAGAGACTCGCACGGTTACGGCTCCAGGAACCTGGCTCCTGCCAGCCCTCCTTACACCTTCCTAACCCCAAACCTCCCTTCCGCCCCCTCCCCGCCTTTTGGCTGAAATTGTGCAAGCTAGTATGTTTTTCAGTCATATAAGCCCCTTCTGGCTTAATCTGTATGGACGGAGACTTTAGGCTTGATGACACCGCCTCACCGCTCCCGATGCCGTTACTGTGCACAGCCTGAGGATCCACAGCCTGAGGCCTCGTTCCGCTAAGGACACGGAGTTGTTACATGGGCACGGTCCGACTCCGAGGTTCAGAAGCACCGCCAACCAACAGAAGAGCTATTGCTGGTTTTGCTGTGACACCTCTTCCTGTATTTGCCATCCACGCTATGTGCTGTGAGGTCTCGACGCCTTTGGACCCAATTTGATTTAAATGATCTGTTAAGCTTTAGGTGTGCTTTCAGCATTCTATTCAGTTTGCGGTCTCAGCACACACCTTACCAGCTCCTTTATGATAAACCGTATAATATGCTGTGAGTGCATATTAATAGTCATATTCATTATAGGTCCACTGTAAAACAAAAATCTTGACATTATGTAGTTATTGCTCTCTGGAGTTGAGTTGTTCTATAAACTTGAGTGAAAAATCCTTTCTCTTTTGTATAAAGGGCCCATCCAGACTTCGCTTCTAAAGACCTGAAAATATCATCACCGAGTAGATTTTTCTGAGCTTCAGGAGCAAAATTATTGGATGACAGTAAACTACTACATTTATTCACTACTGTTTCTAGCCTACACTATGATTCCAGTGTACTTCAGCTAAGTTCCACCCCAGACTGGTCCTCAAGACCAGGCTGGCAAAGCATTTTACACCTAGGCCAGTAACTGGGTTGCAGAGTTCATCCAGCCGAAGAATAGCTGTGGAAAAAAAGAACTAGCAGGAGAACAGATGCAAGAGGGAGAAGAGAGAGGGTGGTGAAGTCAGTGTCGCTGTCAAATTTTGGTTTTGCCAGATGACACACTCAATTACACAGATCCTTCAGAACCATTTGAGCCAAGTTTTGAACGGAGCAAGCTCCTTCAGCTGCACAGTAAATCCCTGAAAGATGGGATTTATTACAGGGGCACTGTCAGAACCGTAGCTATAGCACTGCTAGTGGGTGCTGCTATAATCACATCAGATCATATTATAGATGGCTAAGAAGGTTTTGCGAGCCTGGCCATTGTGCCTGCCTAATTTATAGTGTTCCTGTCAGGAAGAAATCAAGTTTCATAGTTATGACATTTCTTTCTGGAGCACTAAATGTTAACTTTGCTGATCATGCATATCTTGGTAGAACAGCTTATTTCTAAATGGCAAACGTGATATAAAAAGCATAATGACTTCATTCAAAACCTTTATAAAGCAGCTGATTCTCACACCTACAGAAAACAGGCCAAGTGGTATTTTAAGTCACCAGAGTATGGAAATAGATACACACTCAATATATTCGATTCATTTCTCCCATTTTAAGTAATTTCATGATGCTAGAATTGCAGTCTATCTAAAACTAGTCATTTTTTGTACTTATTAAATGAACTTAAATAATGTCATATAAGTAATACCGCTGACAGATAACAACAGCAGCAATGTTTTTCTTTTACATGTTTTGTTTTGTACAAGGATTTCATCTTAATTGATCACCATTCAGAGCTAGATGATTGTATGTAAGGGAAGGAAGGGACAAAAGGATGCTCACACTGTCTGTAATAAAATTCATCTACAGTTTCAGCACTCAGAACAAACGAGACAGAGATGCAGCATCACTTGACATGTGAGAGTAACGCCGCAATGGATGCACACTTTACCTCTGTCACATTAGCTACTGGTGTATTTTCCTCTACAACATGTAGAGGAAATAATTCCCACCAGAGTGCTGGCAAGACCTACTGTTGCTGTGGAGATATTGTGTATCCTGTAGTGCAGGTGTTTGGGAGAAAATAGCTGTAAATGAGTAACTAGCATCAGCCAGGGCCTGCTAAAGAGCATCCTTAAACCTAACCGCTCGCAAAACCTGTAGTTTATATTACAAAGAACTAGCAGTGTTTACAAATACATATTTACTCTTCATTTTGATATCCTGATAGCATTTAAAATATAATCAAAGCTTATGCAGTCTACTTGCTGCTACAAATACTACACTGCTGTATTTAAGTTATGGTTTTCTCAAGAGGTCACTGAATAGTTAAAGAAAAGGTTATTGAGTGAAACGAATGGAACCTCAATTAATTTCTAACAATTCAATGACTTGCATTAACTAATGGACAGTTGGACATCAGAGATATCATGTTTCCCCCGCCCAGTCAACAACTGTGTAGATACACTGATGATAAGGAGAAGTTCTTATAGATCTTAATCCTAAATAGTCTCTAACTGGGGAAAGCCCCCCCTGAATTTTACCAGCCTCCCAGAATCCAAGAAAACAAGATGTAAACAAAATCAAAGTATTAAGAACAACATTTGCCCTAATTTGGAAGTGGACTCTCAGTAAAGAAAAACAACCTGAGGCAATTTTGGAGATGCTCAGGGCCGGGAAGAAGATCAGAAGAAAATCGAAGACCTCCAGAACCCCAGCAACAGAGACACGTAATATTTTATGCTACTGTAATGTGACAAAAGAGATTTGCTTTCTTCCTTGAAAGTATGTTGCTGTCAGTAAATAGAAGTATAAAGAATAAACATGTGGTTGTGTACTACAAGTTTCTTTCCCTGCTTGATGTAGAAACAAAATTTCCTGCAGTGGCAAGCTGTGACAACAGAAAGCACAACACAATCCTAACTAATTTATTCTCACAGTTGGCCTGTAATATTGGCAACAGCAACTTTCTCAATGATAAAATAATGGTATTTTGTCATTAAGATGTGTTACAATAAAGATATGAGAGACTGAGTTCAGCAAATCAGTGCAAGTTGTTACAATAAAGCAACTCAGAACTTTGGGATTCCAGCATGATGGGGATACATCAGAGTGTAAATGAGCATAAACATCAAATTAAAAAGACATGTACTTCCCAGAACAGATAGCTCTAGAGACTCACATATTTAAAACCACAGAAAAATAGACTAAAATAACTACTTTTCAAAGTTGAAAAAAATTTTGTCAACAAGAAACATGCATGCATATGCAAATACACACACAAGTTAGACTGACAGAACCTTTCGTTTTTGCTCAATAAAAACAGGACACACTGTGTTTTAGAGAATCCCACAGCACCAGTCCTTCCCATGCGCTGATCTTATAGCCTTCTACTTTGAAAATTTCTTGTCTCAATATATTTTTTAGTGTGTGGCAGGACTTCAGCTCTCAACACAGGCATGAACTTTTCTTAACAACCTGCTTAGAAGAGACTATCAGAAGCCTTCCAAAAGCATAAACACGTTTTATCCAGCCAGAAGGAAATTTAGGTGTGGCTACCAGAGACTGTACTCACTAAGGTACTTTGATGATTTTCTCTGCTATTAACCTGTTCTAGAATTGCACCACACCAGAGTTCCCATTATGTTCTATAGCATTATCTTTTAACTGTAACATTAAGTTCGATTTTAAACAACGTTTTAGAATAGCTTTTGATCTTTAACAGATGCAGCGCTACTTACTCCCCTAGCCTCCAGTGAGTCTTAGTATCTGTTTTTAATTACATTACAGATTTGTAGATAGAGCAGAGCATCTTAACTTCTTGACTGTGCTCGTGGGTATTTTCTCAAACTGAAGCACTATCAGGGACAGCAGACCAGGTGTGCTATAGGCAGTATGAAGTTCATTGCCTCTTAGTTACCTTCCTTAAGAAAGTCACCGTAAATGGTTTTGTTAGCCACAAAAAGCTATTTTTTCTAAATCTCATAGACAACTCTTACCTTTATAACAGAGGCCCCTGCCCTGGAAAGAGGACTGTGCATTTGGGCTGCTGCAGCCATGTTAGCTATTGTATTGAGGTGGTTCATCTGATTCATTGCCATTGCAACCGAAGCGGGAGGTAGGCTGACGGGAAGCAGAGGGTGGGGCATCATCATAAACGGCAGGTCTATCCCTAAAAGAGAGCAAGGGCAGGTTATAGGCGTCAGTCCCTCGCTTTATAACCCAACACCTTGATTTTTAGAGTCTGTGTTCTACTGGAACATTGACTAGTCAAACTCAGTATTATTGTGAGTTAATAATTTTGATGTTACATAGGGAAAAATTGTCTTTGTATTCCAGAAAAGGCTGTATGTTTAGGGAAAGATACATACAGCTGTAAAGTAACACAATATTAGCAAAATGAATATACAGTAGTGCATAAGTTCAGTGATCTCTTTATTAAGAGCAATAAAGAAAAAACCCACAAAACATGCAGATACTTGCATGTTTTTCCAATCCATCAGACAGATATTTATTAATTATTATTTTATCTGACAATACCAAGTCCTCTTACTATTATTAGTTCACATACACAGCAATCTGAGACTAGATTTTTATATTAGGACTATTTGTTGAATACAGGAAGCTGTGGGTTGGACTACAGACACTATTGAACTGCCGTACAGAAGGTCTGTGAACTGGAACATGTAATGAGAAGTTAAAATTGTTGCCAGAGGTTTTAATTTCCAAGAAGTCACTTTAAATTGTCTTCTGCTATGGATATAAAACAATTTAAGAAGGTACAAAATCCATTTGGACCAACTTGCAGATCTTGACATTGCCAAAAAGTTGATGTTACTGCTAGCAAGAATTGGATTCTCGTGTTTCATTAATATCTATTTCAGCATGTGTATTACTTCTTGTATTTAGTAATGACTACAATGGAAAGCAAGACACCAATTCACTGAAAAAATTGTTTCAGGTTATTTTGCATTTAAGAATTTGTTAGAGAGACCACTTGAAGATAGCTACCTTTGGGCATCCAAAATTATTTTTTCAGAAAAAACAGGACTCATTTCTGCCAGACAAAATATCTTATTGGTTTTTTTAAATGAAATTTAGATTAGAAATTCTCATTAAAAAAGTTCAGATACAAGTAGTAAATAACGTAATCATATAGCTAGTCATAACCATATGCTATTCACATTAATTGCCTCTAAAAGTTTTTTAACTTTTGGCTCTATCTTAACTATTTTAAATGAGAAGGCCAGTCACCATTTTGGTGTATGACAGAACCCACAATAAAAAATATCATTGACTGATATAGCTTATGTTATTCCAATATAATTTGACTATAGCGATATAGAAACACCACTGCGCCCACCATGAAAGGCAGAATTGTATATATTCTGAGCTCCCACGCTATTTCTGTTTAGCTTGAGTATATCATGATCAACAACTGTGATGTCTTCTGATTCAGTATATATTTTATAGGATGATCCATACCAATATTAATTATGATAGGTAATAAGCAAAGCCCACATCTATCTCCCTTCACTTTAAACCATACTGACAATCCCCTTCAGTGCTTACATCCATAAGCCTTTGTTCCCCTGCGTATCTCCCTTAACAGTCCAATAATCTTTCCTCATACTCTATAGAGTTCCAAAACTTCCAGACACCATCTGGCCACATCGAGTTGTATGTCTACTTAAAGTCCAATTGACATGCAAACTAAATGCAAACTACAAACAGAATTTAACAGCACATCACCAGTTTTAAGACACAATCCGTCAAACATTTCAGAGGACTATGAAGAAAATATATCCTACACTTGCAAATCATTGGACATAATGTCTGACATTCAATAAACCCTTTAATAGCCTATAGACATTTGCCTACTACAAAATCTACTGGAAAATACCTTTAAAGTTTTCTTTAACAGCAAAGAACACAATATCCCTGTACATAAAATACAGGTATTGAATTATGCAAGAATATAAAATGAAAGGATAAACTACAGTGAATTTGAGTCCGATGATCTGGTGATTCTTAACTACTGTTACTTAACCCTAAATGCTCAGGTCCATACCTTCCCATGAACAAAGCAGACCCATATTGTAGGAGTCATTTCAATAGCTTTGATCTGGTCAAGTCTGGGACCCTACATAGGTAGCAAGGAACTATCTGCTCCTAAAATTGTGTAAGGAGCCAGAAATGTCATTCATCCATTAAAACTAACACCAAAAATCAACTTTCAAAACTTTGAGGATGAAGAGCTTAAACTAATAACAAGAATTCAGAAATAGTGACACTTTCATTCTTCATCATCTGTTAGAATTAACTTTACTTCTCACTAATTTTTAAAATATTAATCCTGAACCTGTTTCTTGGAATAACTTTCCCTCCCTTCCTTCCCTCTTTGGGTACAAAGGAAAAAGGGAACTGCTGGCTTCCCACCTGCTCCCTTCCTAAGGGAAGGAAAAGAGATGGGTTTGAAGGGAGCTTGAAGTTCCAAATCCAAACTTTATCTGTGTCATTTTATTCCAGTTGCTTTGGATAGCTGGGTTCAATGGATGACCTTGCCCACACCTGGTAGGTACAAGGCAAAACAAGTCAGAGGGATTGCTTCTGCTCGCTTTTAACTAGACATTTTGCATTTATTCCTGGCGCTCATATTTTTATTTGGTGTTCAGCATTTTCACCTGGAAGAGAGTTTTCTCATATAGCTAAAATTTTAAGCAACTTTATGGTTATTTTTCTCTTCAGTCCCGGCCATGGAAATGTCAATCAAGGACTGACATTCCCCAACCCAGCAGTGGGTGACCATTCAAAGAGGGTGGCTGTATCCCAGTGGGCGGCTTGGACACGGTGCACAAGCGCAGCAGACAGTGGGAGGAGCGACCCCCCTGTCGCTTGTGTGTCTCCCATCCGTTTATTTCCCCCACCTCCAGGAGGCTGGGAAGGAATGCAAGCCCAGCCTCCAAGCAGGGCTCCATGTACTGTTTTCTTTCCGTAAGAGCCCAATACATACTGTTGGTGAGCAGGTGATTCTGTTGGAGAGGACTGAGTGGGTGCGCACTTCCAAGGCTCGACTGCCCTGACAGCGTGGGATGACCAATGCTGTGCTGTGATCCCGTTGTAATGGGAGACTGAAGCTTGTCTTTATCCCAGGAGGATTCACTCCCACCTGCAAAACAGGGTACAAACAAACCATAAATGGCATGTACTTTTCTTTAAAAGACATTTTGCTTGGTTAGCAATGAGCTAATAGCCTTTACCATAGCTAAGCACCTAGCACAAACACAGCACCTGAAACCAACACCTGACTTTTTTTTTTAAACTAAATTAATAAATATGCATCAGGCAAAAAAGATGATTAGAAACTTTCAGCATCACCTACCTTCTTAACACTGGTTTCTGGAAACAGGAAAAGCTAAACGTTTAAGGATAAAATCATCTGAGTAAACATCAATCACAGTTAAGTAAATAAGACAGAAAGGGAACATCTGAGACACTGAACCACCATCTCCTGCTATCGCAGGGAATCAGGGCACCCAGTCCCTGCCAGAGACTAATCGTGTCCGTCCTCGGGCTCGTCAGGTCTCTCGCCACTGTTAATCTTACTGGAGAGTCGCTCCGCTATTCACTCCCCCCAGTGCTCACCAGCATTCTAGCTTAAATTCATCCCCGAGCAGGTTACAACAATTTATCCTGCTGCTATGTTATCTTTGAGCTCAGACAGCTTTCCCTCCACTACTGGGTTTGATCCTTGGGATGTCGTGAAACACTTCACTTTGCTAGGTTAAACAAGCCAGGCATTAGGTTGGCCTTGGAAATCATCAGTATTCAGGAATTTAAAGAGTCCAGATATCTATTACACACAGTAATTACTGTCTACAAGAAAAACACAGTATAGCAAACTAAGCACTCATCTTTGGTCTAGAATATCTGTTTGGCCTCCTGAAGAGAGGGTGTTCTGCAGCAATCTTACAGATTGTCGTCGTCTTCAGTATTACACTTACACACTTGAATAACAACAAGTTCCTTCTACACAGCACTTAAGTAGACCATGGGGGGTTGGGCTCGATGATCTTTCAAGGTCCCTTCCAACCTAAAGCATTCTATGATTCTATGATTCTGTGTTAGTGAATTCTGAAATACATCTGGGCCACAAAACAAACCACCTTAAAAAAGTTAGACGGAACATTCCTAGAGTAAAAAGGTATTTTAAGTACACTTCCTTCTCAGGTACACCCCACATTTTCAATTAGATTATGGATTGTTATGAAAATGTGTAACTGCAGTATTGACTTTGTTTTGAATTTATGAACAAGAATTTCAATTAGAATAAGTAAATAAATTACTGTGATGCAGCAGAGGCAGCAAGCCAAAAAACCCCATTTTAATTGAATATGAAAGTAACAGAAGAATTCTATTCTTTGTGACAACACTTAGCTAATAAACATGATTAATATGGCTAAATGAAAAAGTTTGAAAGATCAATGATTGAGAAAAAAAGGAAATCACTCCATCATTTTAGCACTATGTCCAAGTACGAATTACCTTCCTATAAAAGATTTGTAATTTGTAAAATGATGAGCAATACATTGACAAAGAAAGATACACTAAATTATGCCATGTGATATAATATAACATGGCATAGTGCAGTAATTACAAGAACTACTACAGTTAAGACTGTGTCAGCATCTTTGTTATTTAATATACTATATATCAGCTCTTTCAAATAACATTTGACTGATACTTAGTATAGAAATTGTTCATTCTGACCATTGTGAAACAGAGGTGGTAGTATTTGGTAAAGTATTTCTCAAGTTAAATGTGTAATTTCAAAAAGATTTTCTGAGGAAATGCTTAGCATTTGATTTTACCAAATGAGTTTTATTTTTCGTCATAAGCTTTTTCAGTAAATTTAAGTTTAACATTTACACTTTATTCTTCATCAAAAAACACATGACATAGCTTGAATTTTTTGCTTAGAAATAGTTTTTGTACATGTAACTTCATGTGTCAGGGCAGCAGCCACGACAACTGTGCACAAGACAGTTTGTTAGAGATTTTTGAACGAAAAGAAAAAACCTGCACTCTTCATCCAGAAGTCTCCCCCGTCCTGTTGGTTTTTCTCCAATACTTCCAACTTCAGGCACAGGTGGTCTACACTCTCAGCTCATTTACTTATTTCTAGATGTTTCTCTTGTCTTTCCAAAGCCTCGTGCATCTACCCACCATAATTCTGTGGCTGTAGCTGAAGCTGTAGCATCAGCGCGCTGTATCAGCTTTCTGTGCCCAGCTTTACAGCTGTTGCGCATTCCATAGGAAAGTACAACTATTCCTATTTTACAGATAGAGAATTGCACTGCGCAAAGAGATTTGCTTAAGGAAATACAGGAAACCTGCAATGGAACAGGAAACTGAATTTAAATTATGTTGCACAGTCCAAATCACTGGACCAGTTTAGACTCCTGATAAGGAGTCTAAAATTAAACAATGATCCGTACGACTGTATGTAGAGAGATGGACTTCAAGTAATTTCTTTTAGGTATATATGAAACAAAAGGGGAAAAAAATAAACGAAAAAAGAAAGTAAACATACAACACTATGGAAAATGAGACAACAGAAAATAGCAATGGAACTTACTTTACCTCTTGTATACGAAGGGAAATATAGCTTATTTATTTTAAATGAGAAAGAATATTTCATTTTAAAATATTAGTAATTTGATTCATAAGCATCACAGGAATATTATTAGAGCCCTCAGAAGTCTGTTGATTTGTCAAAATGCCAATACATCATTTATACACTTTACAAAAAGCTTTATGTTCAACACTATTACCCACTACCCATATGACCTTCTCTCCAACAGATAAAACTAAAGGACAAAAAGGTGATTTTTCCTTATCTTGTCTGCATTCTAGTCGATCTTGTCCCAGAACAGATTGTACTCAGCATTAAAAAAGGGCAAGAGAGACAAGAACCTCCATCTTCCAGAGCTCCTGACGCTTGTCAGAAGCAAGCAGAGAGACTGCGGTGGCCTTAACATAGCCGCACCAAAGTGGGAAGAAAAAGGCAGCGCTATCAGCTGGCCAGCCGTCCTAGAAGAGTGCAGAACGCGCCGCAGCTAAAAAAAGGTCTGACCTGCCTCCACCAGCCAGCTCAGGCCCGCAGCAGATGTGTGGTGTACAGCTCTGCTTTGAGATTTGCAGCTAAATGCGCAATATGGATGGGAAAAAACCCCCAAAAAAGCCTGATTGTCTGCGCTGTACACGATCGCCTACACAGAAACGCAGCGCGTGTTGCAAAGGGCACAGATACAGACGGACACTACGTGGATTTGGTAAGAGAAAGAGTTATTTACAATATACTTCATTATTAAAGTCTGGTATTTACCAGTCTTAACAGGTTATTTGAGAGAACTTACTTACCAGTGCATGAATTACACTTATGTTCAACTAAGCAAAAGCCAAACTAATGCAACAAACCCCAGTCCATTCGCTTCTGAATTAAAATGCGGTGAGAGGTAAGCATTGCCTTAATGCCATTTTACAGCCCAGTGGCCAAATTCTGTACGTCTCTGTTCCCAAGTCCCTGTGAACAGCGAATTCAGACGAGTTCAGATGGATGCAGGGGGAGTTAAATCCCAAATAGGGGGAATCAGCCTAAGCAATACATACACATGCTGTTGATGATATACACCGTACTCGCGGATCCACTGCAAGGTTATTTACAATCATGGACATGTCTGTGAGCAAAGTGCTTCTGTTTAAGTTTCATTTTGTTTAGTTGAAGAAAATGCAAGTGATAAGCTCAGCTTCAATTTTCTGAAAATGCTGCTTCTCACCCATCTATGATTTTAGTAATTGTATAAGATAACTCTTAAAGCTACATGTTTTCTAGTAATACACCTCTCTGTGCATTTGTGTTTTTCAAAACAAAATCCAAAAAACTTTTTCTGGTGAAGATATACTTGTGAAGATTAAATTAGTGTCTTGTTTTTAGGTATTGAAAGATCTCCAGAAAGTAATCAAAGTTCAATTTGGTGACAGTTTCTTTTCATTTGGTTTCAAATTCATTTTATCAGCCTTAAAACTGTCTGGTCTAGCTAAATGAAATCCACTCTGTCAGAGGTACCTTTGAATTGAACAACCACACTGTTTCAATCTATGTCTGTCATTTTATTTTTTGTTGTGATACATTTCTGAAAAATTGAACTCAAATTGTTAAAAGCAATACCATCTTCACCATCCAATTTTATTCTAAAATTATTTTTAAACACATTTTTCACGCTGTTGGGCATATTAAGCATAACATCAGCTGCAAACAAAAAAGTATTCAGTGCATTGCTATTTCAGCACTGATAATTTCAAAGTATTCAGCATTCCTAGCCCCAGTACTTTCAGGTGTCCCAGACTCGTTGCTTTTACCAATATCCTAATTTCACCTCAATACCGGGACGAACGGTCACTTTTTTGGCCTACACAGAATATCCTCTGCTGAAAACATTTCACCCTACAACTTTCTGTCAACTGCTCATGGTAACAACATTTGAATGTCCCAGGATTTGATAGAAACCAATTTTTGTCATATTCGATAAACTGAGAATCTTGCTACAGTAAGGATAGGAAGATACCACCCAGTCATATTCCTGGTAAACTGTCGCTTTCCTGTCAGAAAAACATAGAACTGTTCTGGGTCAGGATTATGACCCATTTAACCCCAAATTCTGTCCCTCATATTGGCAGTAAATGATGTTATTTATGGAGACCACGCAAGCGTGGACACTTTCTGGGGTCCCATATTACCCCTAAATAAACTTACTTTCTTTAAAGTGGGAATGAGGATTTTAATCAGCCCCCAAAAGCATGACACCCATCTGAAAATCTAAATGGAAGATCTGCAATGCATTTAGAGCTTTAACGCATTTATTTGTTTAGCTGTGTGTATTCGGCTATATCAACTTCTGGATTGTGCCCTACAAGAAAGCCATGAAAGTGTGTAGGGTAAGATATTAAAACTCAAGAAATCCAGTGATGGCTTTACTGGGTTACTTCCAAAAACTTATCAAGTGGTTCCGCAGATGTAATTACTTCAGCAGATGTAATTACTGCTTAGCCCTGCCAAAGCTTTGAAATGTGCCCATTAATTCAGCAATTCCCAATCTGTCCATCAGT